GGCGTAAATTATCATTTAAATAGCATTTGAGGATTCTGATAAGAGGACGAGGCAAAGTGAAAAGTACAGTCTAGTTTGGAAAAGAATGGTATTTTTAGGTTCACCGCTTAATAAATTTTCAGATAAATGTGGAATTTTTTCTTTATTCGTTCACGGCTAGAATCGCCGGCAGTTTCCACATCACCATCTGTTCTCATTGCCAGTAGTCAAATTTCGAACGGCTACTTTCAATTGCCTACTAAGAACACATCTTTCTCATTTCAATAGAAAGATTGAAACAGCTCATCGTCTCTTTCCACTTAGCAAAATTGTGATTATTGCTTGTGCTTATTGCGCTACATTTTTACATTTTACATAAGGGTAACTTAAAAATTTATTTTTACTAGATTTGCGTGCAAGGGCCCAGCTGCACACAGGGTTACCTTAATGATCCTCGAAGCACCAAAGAACTGTACGATGAAGAAGGATGGTTGCACACAGGTGACATCGGAACATGGACTCCGGTGAGTGGCCGCTCAGGCTTATTTACCCAAACATAACCACTCATTTCTAAAATATTTCTGCTCAGTTAAACCCTAAACGTAAACTTTAATAAAGTAGAATTTAAGATACTTTCATAGACCTTTGAATTATATTTCTTAAATAAGTCATAATAAAAGCCATGCTTCTTGACACATTTTGAAATATGGACTAATATGTTTAATTAGATTATTGTTATCACTACTATTATTTTTCGGTTTATAAGTGTCCGACAGTTTTGTTTTATTTTAACTTAAGTAACCTCGTTACTAACAGCTTATGAGGACGAGTGAAATCTCAAGCATCCCAAATCTCTCTACCATCATTCAGGACAGGCGGTAATCAAACGCTGTTGCCTTTTATATTAAAAGAAGTTGGCCTTCGGAGAATCCCTTGATAGATTGATATTGGCGAGCAGCACCGGATACCGATGAGGTCAATCTACCAATCCCTTCGACCTGCGTTGATGTTTTATGGACTATTCTAGTACTTATTTTAGAATAACCCGATATAGCCTCGTTATATGTAGTGGAAGTTCTCCCAATTACATAAATGGGCTTCACGAAGCCATTGAATTTTACTTGACCATGCGGTTTGGATCATATCCGAGACTAATCATATTCCCAAAGGGATATGAAACCGAATCGTACGCGTATATTGTTTATACACTTCCGTAAAGCCACCCAGCCAAGGATTACAATAAGTCATATGGCAAATGCGACTTTCGAGGCAAGCTGGGCTTTTCATATATCGCATTTCTTGTAGGAATCTCTTCAGAGTAAACTTTTATTCTCCATTACAAACAAAACAAAATCATTACCTATTTTGTGTGAGTATGGTTCAAAACTAACAATAATACTTAATTAAAAACTTAGTCGCCTCAGGTCGTCTATGACAAGTGAAAGACTGATATTGGAATTTTTCCAGCTTTTCAACTGCTTTCTCAGTTACCAGCACGTTATACAGAAAATCCTGCTTTTGGTTCCTTCAAAATGTTCATTAGGTTAGACATTTATTGTCCTATATTCGTATAAAGTAAGTTTCGAAGATAGTAAAATTTTAGCTCTTATGGGCTGCCTTAGTCCAGGTATATGAGACAATTAACAAATAAAGGATAATTGGAATATCTTTGTCCAATGTATGCAATAGAAGAAAGAGAGTAATGAGTTAAGGCAAGAAAAAAGAAATATGAGAGGTTTTCACCCTATTCCGTTTAAGGTGATGAAGGACTGGTGGTAGAATTTTCCCACAATGATATGACTAGAGCTGACATTTCCATTGAATTTCAAATAGCCTTGCTTTCACAAAAGTTGTTCTCATCCAGGCAGGAGTGGACTGCAGTTTTGACCTCGCATTGGTCTTATCAACACCTCCAGCGGGAGTCGAACCGTGACAGTGCAGAATGGGAGCTTGACACGTT